TGCCTTACGTGCAATAGTCGTTTAGATGTTCTGGAAATCTCACCCTTCTTCCAGAACGCGTCGTTTTAAGTTTATTTTCGGATACTGTCGAAGTATCATCGTGTGTGTTGGTTGTCGGATGAGGTATTATAAGTGTCGGAGTCGTGTCGTTCAATTGTACCGAAGGAAAATCCACGTAGATAGGATTTCCTTCTAAATACGCTGCTTTTAAGCGATCGATACTGATGCTATCGTTGGTTCCGTTCTTATCGACTATATAGTACTTAGATTCACGTTGAAGAACTTTGAAGGGTCCTTCGTATGCTGATTCGAAGGGTCGTCGATGCGAGTCTCGACGAACGAAAACGTGTGTACTATATCGTAAGTCAGGTTGAACGAAAACATCAGTCGATTGAGGTCGGGTGGAAGCAGGTTTAACTGAACGCATTGCGTTTGTAAGCCTGTTCGTGTAGGAGGTTAGATCCATGTTCATTGAAGAGGATGAAGGATCCACGAATTCTCCTGGAAGTCGAAGTGTTGTACCATAAACGAGTTGAGACGCAGTGTATCCAATGTCAGCTTTCACTGCATTGCGGATACCTAGTAAGACGAGTGGAAGAGCGTCGGTCCACTGTGAAACGTTTGTAGCTGATAGCGAAGCTTTCAGTTGTCGGTGAAAACGTTCTACCAACCCGTTTGCTTGTGGATGGTAGGCGGTCGTTCGGAAGCGAGTGCTTCCTAAAAGAGTGGTCAGACGACGGAAAAGATCAGATTCAAATTGACGTCCGCGGTCTGTAGTGATGGTTGAAGGGCAGCCGAAGTTTGCTACCCATCGTTCGACGAAGGTGCGAGCCACTGTTTCAGCAGTGATGTCCTTGATAGGTACTGCTTCTGGCCATCGAGTGAAACGGTCTACGCAGGTTAAGAGATAAGAGTATCCATTTGAATCTGGTAAAGGTCCTACCAAATCCAGATGAACATGGTCGAAACGAGCATCGGGAGTTTTAAACGAGCCTAAGGGACATTTGTTGTGTCTGATAACCTTAGATTTTTGGCAGCTTACACAGGAGCGTGCCCACTCCCTCACGTCTTTATTCATTCCAGGCCAGCAAAACCTTTCTGCTATAAGCTTGATGGTTGCACGAACACCTGGATGCGAAAGTTTGTGCAATGTGTTGAAGACATTGCGTCGATAATGTTTCGGCACGATTGGGCGATCCCTACCTGTAGATGTGTCACAAAGTAAGGTTTCCTTACCTGTTCCCATCTGTTTGATGCGTAGTTTAAGTGTTGTGGACGATAACTCGTGCTGAAGATCAGTGTCTTCTTTTTGAAGCTCGGCGAGTTTAAGAAGGTCGATTCCTTGGAAACTGTTCAAGGAAGTTATACGAGATAAAGCGTCTGCAACTACATTGTTTGCTCCAGAGATGTGTTGAATATCTGAAGTAAACTGCGAAATGTAGTCCAGTTGTCGAGACTCACGGGGAGAGTACTTGTCAGAAGGAGAGCTTAACGAGAAAGTGAGCGGTTTATGGTCCGTGAAAAGAGTGAATTCACGACCTTCGATGTAGTGTTGAAATGCCGTACAGCACAATACATAGCTAGGAGTTCCCTACCGAATGTGCTGTACCTCGATTCGGTGTCTAGCAACCGTCTAGAGAAAAATGCCAAGGGTTGCCAGGAGTTGTTAACCCATTGTTGTAAGACTCCTCCGATTGCCGAGTCGGATGCGTCTACTGCGATGCTAATGGGTGCTCGGGTGTCCTGATGTGCGAGCATTGTTGCTTTAGCAATCAGTTCCTTAACTGTGGAGAATGCTTTTCGTGCGGTGTCGTCCAAATTAATGGATTTCGCATTTCCACGAAGTTGGTCGGTTAGCGGTTTCATAAGTAATGCGCATTTGGGTATGAAACGTCTATAGAAACTTACCAGGCCGTTAAACGTGCGTAATTGCTTGACGGTGGTCGGTTCTGGGTAATCCAGAATGGCCGCCACTTTGGTCCTAAGAGGTCGAATGCCTTGAGCATCGATAGTGTGTCCTAGGAAGTCTAACGAGTCGGTTCCGAATTGGCATTTCTGAACGTTTACAGTTATGCCATGTTTTTGAAGTCGTTCGAAAACAAGATCCAGATGCTTGAGATGTGTTTCTCTGTCCGGACTTGCGATTAGACAGTCATCAACATACGCGTGTACGAAGTTGAGACCTCGAAAAACGTCGTCTATGAATCTTTGGAATGTTTGAGCAGCATTCCTTAGACCGAAAGGCATACGCAAAAATTCATAGAGTCCGAAAGGAGTTATGATAGCTGTTTTCGGTATGTCGTCAGTAGCCATAGGGATTTGGTTATACGCTTTGACCAAGTCGATTTTCGAAAAGACAGTTGTACCTTTCAAGGTAGCTGTCAAATCGTGAATGTGAGGCAACGGGTAACGATCGGGAATGGTTTTCGCGTTCAATCGCCGATAGTCACCAGTTGGACGCCAATCGTTGCTGTCCTTTTTAGGGACCATGTGCAACGGAGATGCATATGGGCTACTTGACGGTCGTATGATTCCTAAGTCCATCATGTGATCGAATTCGTTTTTCGCTAACCTTAGCTTTTCAGGAGCTAGTCGGCGTGCTTTAGAAAATACAGGTGGTCCTGTAGTCGTGATGTGATGTGTAACATTGCTGGTTACACACGGTAGTTTCGTTTGAGTTTGTTGTATCTCAGGGTACTTATCGAGTAGTGGTTGATAGAGTGGGTCTATCATATGTTTAACTGTGACTGGGGATACTCTACAACCAGTAAAAGAAGTTACGCAAACGGACAAATTAGTGTTTCCGTCTACTAGCCTCCGTTTGCGGGTGTCGATGATCAGATTGTGGTGTTGTAGAAGGTCCATACCAATGATTGGCATAGAAACATCTGCAACAACGAAAATCCAGTGGATGGGTTGGCGTAAACCCACGTTAAGGTAAACGTACCTTTTGCCATACGTAGCGATCGGTTTTCCATTTGCCGCCTGTAAGTTAAAAGCCGACTCCTGAAGCCGGTCGTTAGGATTTGCTGGGAGAACGCTAACTTCTGCGCCAGTGTCGACGAGGTAACGAACTCTCGTTGTCACATCTGTGACGAATAACAGACGGCTTTGTTCGCCGGCTACGGTTGCCGTTAACGCGTGCCGGCTTGGAAGTTTCCCGAATTGCTTTTCGAATCAGTCGGTTTCGTGTTGGGAAAATTGCAGGGTTTTCTGCAATTTCTGGAAAGCTTTCCATACTGGTTATGATACCAGCACCAGTCGGGGTTATCTGTCTCTCGTGGTCTAGAGACAGATCGCTTACGAGAAATGCTTCTACGTGGTGTGCGCGATCTCTTACGGTCGTTACGAAGACTAAGATAACGCGTGAGTGTGTGACATAAGTCGTTTATATCATTCTGAGTCGTTTGAGGTTTTTCTTTGACTGAAAATACCTCGGTAGTAGATTTCGTAATTTCTAATATGCGGTCGGCAGATGCAGCTAGCTCGTCTAAGGCGTTGTTCTGGAACGAGACCAGAACTGCTTGCACCTGTTGGGGAAGTTTTGACAAGAAGAGTTGTTTGAATAGGCCTTCGTCGAAAGTTCTTGGGCCTATAACCTCTCTCATCCGTTGCAACATGTCTGTCGCAGAACCGTGTTGCAGGTCGATATTGTTGAAGAGTTGATCTAACCTTTGTCGATCGGTTAGGTCTCCTCGTTTAAGAATCGAGCGTTTTAAGATTTCGTAAGGATCGGAAACATCACTAGTAAACATACTAGGTGTTACGTACCTGTTGAATTCGCGCGGTAGTGCCTTGACTACTGCGAGGAATTGTGCACGTGTGTCGATCACGCCGTGCTCGGAGAAGTCGGCTTCTGCGTAGCAAAACCAGGCTTCGATGTTGTCGGGCCAGAAAGGCATGAGTTGAAACGAAGGCGGGGACAAAGTCTTAAGCTTGAGTACTTTAGGTGTCTGTTCAGTCATGATGAAGTATGAAGTACGATAATGAACAAGGGGAAAATATATATATCCAGGAAAAAACACGAAAAAAAAATCACAATGTTTAAAAAAGTTAAAAAAAATAAGGCAATGATATATAAAAATCCCAAAAAGGAACAGACTCACAGTTGCAATTAGGTGTACCAGATCACGTCGGTTTCACCAATGATGATGTCACAGGTATTCAGTGTTTGACAACGCTTCTACCAGTAACACCTTCTAATATATTTCGTTCCCGCCCAGAGAAATCAAAAGACAGAGTCGAGGAGATCGGAAGAGTATATTTGGCGATGACCAATATATCGGAATTCTCTGATCTAATCTGGCTAGCGATTGCGGTTGATGTTGAGCACGGCGTTACCACACGTGATCTGGTGCGGATGACTGACCGAGCGCCTTCAGCTAGGTGAGTCCACTAAAACATATGGTCAGCATCCAATGTCGAAAACTTAGTGCTATTTATTTTGGGGATTTATTTACCGCTACAGGAGTAAGCCGTGTCATAAGCGTTCCCTTGAAAGTTCTTCCATTAGAACGAACCACAGCCTCTTCCATAGGTTACTTTGAACAGTTGTGGATACCCGTGTAGATCAAATATATACTTACCTCTATTTGGGACGACGAAGAACCTAATGGATGCAAGCCTCTCTTCCACCAGATAGCGTCTTGCTTTAAGGTATTTTACACAACCCTTTGTTTTATCTCTCATATACAAGTAACGTTTGTAAGCACCAAATAACCAAAATCCACCTACAAGTGGCAATATTTTACATCTTTCACATCAAATATGTGTGACCATAGAACTTAGTAACGTGACAACTGGTCCTGGAGAACCTGTTTCGTCGAAAACCCTGTTTAAAAATGTGAAAATCGAAAATCATTTCCAAATGCACGAAAAGCTCATTCGAATTAGGCTGCTAGAGCGAATAATTGCATATGTATTATACAGTTGACGGGTTATAGTACTAAATGTTGTAATTGACGGAGGTTGAACTTTGGATATGGTGGGCTTTTGATTTAGGTAGTGTTTTAAAATTTTTTGGGGATTTTCAACGTTTATCTGGACACTAAGGGATTTAACTGAATTCAATCTACTAAGAGGTAGTCGTCTACTTTTCAACTTAATTTACTCTAATTCCTGATGAGATGCATAGCGTGTTTTGAATAATATTGTTCAAAACATCATGCTATATGAAGGCTAGTAATTCTAGTATCTAGGACTTTTGCACTGAAGCCTATTTGTTGCCATATTTCACATGCCGACCAATTAAACTGTATAGGAATGCGGGGATTATTAACAGTAAATACCCTTAGGCCTCGTAAATAATCCCATATGGGATTAAGTTGTGTAATTACGTCCATCCATATTGCTAAATAGCAATATAGTTTGTATAAGTTCGTAAATAAAAAAGCTTCAACCCTCATTCCTAACTTCTTATCCTGATTCTAAATTTGTTGTAGACTTATTAAGCCATTGAAGCTTCTAAGGGTCATTTGAATGTCGTCCATAGATTTCTGCACCACCAGCATTCTTCACAAATAATACTCTGATGTATAGGGTACGTTTCACACTGTTCATAATCATGGCCTTTAAAGGAATTGGTGTGATCGGGTTTATCTGTCCCTTACGTTGTAAATTCCGTAATATATAGGCGTGCAAAACTCCATCACTCGATAATCATATTCTCAAGAAAGTTACTGAAATAGTCCTGCAATTCAAAACGGCATCTTTTCTCCCATAGTACACAGGATTTTCCTCTATTATTGTGATGGTAGCCCTTTGTTGAAAGACCTTCGGAACTTTCTACTTAGTAGTACCTAATTTTCAGTACTGTAAGCAATATTTTTCGTAACCAGAAAGGTTCTTGGATTTCAGATGCTCCTTTTTTTGGGACTTTGAATCCGAAACAAAGTGTTGAAGCAAATTTAGATCTTTAATGGTTCATATAATGAGCGATCATTATCACAGTGTCGTTAATAGTCCTACGATGTTGTCCCGATGCAAAATTACCTTTCTATTATTTAGCTTCTTGGTTGATATATATGAGGTAGCTGAATTCCGAAACACGAAATTCAGTGATTAAGACGGACCAATTTTTTATCTTGTAAATAATCTCTCATTTCGTCCTTTGATTTTGTGTATTTGTTTATTGTCTTAAACTGTTACGTGGAAGTAAATCGTTCATTTCGTTTGTTCTATAGTGTTAATGAATAGGTGTAGGCCGGTTACACAGTGTTGTTAATGGAACTCGAAATTTCAGTGTATTGTGGTATGTTTATGTAGTGATTACATCAAGTCAACTCTTGTATCATTATTTGCACATGGATCGCAAATATTGCGAAAATGGTGGTAACTTTGGGGTTTGGTAATAACCCTGTGGTTGATAGTGGCTCAAACCGTAGAATGTATCGAAACGTTTAGTGTGAGACAAATAATTGCACACTCGGATCTGGTTTTGAAACAATTAATGTTCGTGCAGGCGAACATCAATTAGCGGTCAAACGCCATGATATATCCCCGCTTATATCAATTTGTATGGACAACTGTGGACATACATTCAACTAGGAAAATGTTGGGATCTTAGAGGGATTTTATTTATTTATTTTATTTGAACACACAAGTATTGGTACAAGAGAGCGCCAATATATATGCGGGAACCCTATATGAGGGAACCCTAAAATCATCAGAGAACCTTTAGAAGATTGGCACTCAGGTCAACCAGCAATCAACAAACACATTGAAATCTAGCCAATTTATCAACCAATCAGAAAAATTGTGGACAAATATAAGACCAAAAAGTCAAATCAATAGGAGATACGGTCGAAATAAAGTAGACAACGACAAGTTTAAGGTAAACAATAACCAATTAAGATTAAGGTGTACAGGACAGGCTGGGAGTCTTATGTAAAGAAATTCGAACGCTTCAATTCTACTTGAAGTTTGTGCTGATGATGTTGTTCAGAAGAACGATGAAAACTCTACGACCAAACCATTCAGCTCAGACTTTTCTGTTCACAAGCCTTATTTTATGAAAATCTTCAAGACGTCATTCACAAAACTAACTCCTTTCTAGTTATAAGAAAATTCCCATCCTTTCTTAAAAAATAATATAATTGACGATCGAAACCAGTCAGATGAGATTAGGTCCACTTTCCAGACGATAGCTAGTATTTCTCTGGTGACACTATAATTTATGGACTACCTCGGAGCGATGCCAAAGTGACCTTGAGGATGTTCACCTACTTGCTAGGGCTAAATGTGAGTTATAAACGTGTGAGGAATAAGGACTATGATTTACAGTTGATGGTTAGGGTTAGGAATTAGATTTAGAATTTTCATCACGAACTGACGTAAGATAAAATGCCAAAACACTCTTTAACCAAATAAACAGATAGATTTCGCGCCGAAATACAAGATCTGTTATCCCAAATATGATTGCTTCGTCCATAAATTAGTCTCGCCGTTTTGTTCAGTTTGGCTACCAAGACTGGACTACTGTTCTCAAAAACCTATAAATTCTGCCTATCAGAAGCCGCCAATTTCTCTCGGTTTAGGTTAGCTTCAGCCTCATTAAGAACCGACAGAGAGTTGCATGTTAGACGATGTCTGTGCCCAAAGTCAGTGGTTGCTAAAAATAAACGGTTATTTAAGTATATTTGTACCAGGCGATCATAAGTGTCTATTCGCTGAAGTGGGACACTCTAAGACTCACTTGAATGTCTTTCAGTTTGGTTTAAACTACCTACTCGGACATTAACATTAGCTGCTACGATTACTACGTTTGACGGTTTATGCCTCTGAAGGTTTGAAGGCTTTCCGTAGAACTTATCACTTCATCCAAACTGCAGTCAGTGGGTGTGTAGACTGAGCCAACGTCTTAAGATACGTTTCGGGTAGAGAGGAAGTAGGAGAAGGGTTGATAGTAAGGAGAGGAGAAATATTAGGAAGTGAGAGAGGAATTCAGTCGTGAACGAGGTGGTTTAGGTTGCTGTTAGAGCTATGTAGGTGATTGTCTCTTCCTGGTTGCCAAACACGTGGAAGAACACTTCTTCACCTAGTAAGGGCGAAAACTGGATTATCAGTAGCGTCAGCAATCTGATAGCATAACTATTGAGTAAAAGGACAGATACTTGAAGCCAATCACCCAGGGTCTTTTTGGGAGTAATTGTTGATAATTTGAGTTTCCGTATGTTTAAGGCTTTACAGGCGGCAAAGGTAATCCATCGGGCAAATTAAGGTTTGTGGACTGATGTCACGTTATGGTTTGGCCGCCCTTAACTTCTATCCGTCTTCGACACTAGTTAACACTGTGCACCGTGGTAATCGGTGGTTAGGCATGCGTAATACTTGACCCAACCATCTCAGTCGATAAAGATTCACAACCTCATCAACTGATTTACCATCATTCCCTAATACCCTGAGTCTAACCTCACTATTGCTTACATGGTGATCCCAGCAGATGCAAGCAATATTTCTAATGCATCTGAGGTCGAATACTAGTAGCTTACGAGTATCCTCTACTCTTAATGGGCACGTTTCGCAGCCGTTAAGTAGAACTGAACGAACTGCCACATAGTATGCTCGTCCCTTAATTGATAGACGGATATCTGGCCTTCGCTATAGGTGACGTAAGTTGGCAAAAGCCAAACGAGCTTATCGAGCTGGATAGCCTTGCCTGACACCACTTAAGGTTTCGAAATCAGATGACAGCTCGCCATAAGCCCTGACTCGACTATTAGTGTTCGAGTAAAAAGCCTTCACAAGGTTTATGTACTTCTGAGGTATGTCTTTCAACGACAGACACCGCTACAGAGCCTACGGTTTACAGATTCAAATGCTGCTTTTAAGTCAAGAAAAACTATCATTATTAGACGCCGATAAGCATGCCTGTGTTTTAAAATCTGACGAATGGTGAATGTGTGGTCGATGCAGCCACAACCAGGTCTAAAACCATTTCTCGTATTTGCATAGTGATATACAAGTTAGATATTAATGGTTTTCTCATCATATCTAGCAGAGTAATTTGTTTTCCATAATTTTTCCTTTAGATGTCATCTGAGAGGGGAAGCCTTTCTGAAGTTCAAATTAAACTTGTGGGTAAGTCTGAGGTACCATTTTTGCACATATGCTATGCACTTACTTCACATCAAATGTATTATAAATTAGATTGTACCATCACTCCGGAAATTTTATCGAAGACAACGTGACATGTGATATATATATGTCTCGATCCGAGTTGTCACAGTTCGTTTCGTTTGAAAAAAAGCGGATTAAGTCATCAGTCTTTAATAGTACTGTCTGAAATAGCGTCGCTCGAACGTTCTCAAACGCGCTTACTTTTAGCTACTGAGTATCAGAATCAAGTCCCTCTTCACCTATTTCGGTTCGGCTAACTAGGTAATATCGTTAGCCTTCACATTTAAAGCTTGGCTTGGTGAGTGAGGCAATCAAATTTTAAAAAATAACTAATTAAGAATATAGTTACAAATATCTAATTTTTCATCGAAATCATAAACTGATCAAATTCCGAAAACTATTAAAAAACTGAAAGCACTGAACGGCCGTTTCATCCTAGTTTGGAGTTCTTCACCAGTGCACATTCACGACCCCATAACATGAAATCAAACTGAAGACCTTCGATCTGACACGTGAATGCTTAACCTGTAGACCTTTGAGCCGAGACTCAATGAGTGTAGAAGTGTAACTTGAATCAATGAAGAATATTGCAGGATGATTTTCGATTGTGTTAGTTGGGCGAATGTCTCATAGTGGAGATGGATTATCACCACTGATCATTACTTTTCACTAGAACTCCCTAAATTTCCTCTCGAAACTAGTCACTAATGAGCACATGAAAAGATAATAGAAGATTGTTGTGCGGTATCGTGGTCTGGTTGGGGTTAGACGTCAACACCGTTAGATACCAGCTCAGTGGTCTAGAAATCAAGCGTTCGGTTTCTGTGTGCAGAATCGTGGATGCGCACTGTCAAGGAGTCCCATTCTAGGGCGAAGTAGTCGTTCGGTGCTTCTAGGGTTTCAGTGGTGGTCTAACCTGTATCAGTTCATGATATCTATGAAATTTAATAATTTCCACAATCCCATAACGAATGTTTAATTTTCACGTCATTATTAGTGTACGGGTTTGATAAATTATGACTAACAGTCCCGATCTGAACATCAACACTACAATCTTGGTCGCCGATAGAATGGAACACACTCTCATTATTCCACTATTAACCATTATTCATCTATTTCATATGCGCTTCTCCGATTTTTAATTCACATAAAACACCATAATTACAACGTACCAAAATCTATAAATTCCAATAGATAGATAAGTAGGTTGACTTTTTATTGCAAGAAGTGAGCAACTTATTCATTGTTAATTAACTCAGTTATCGATCGTTAAATGATGTAACAATAATTAACAAATCGGAAAGGGGTACAATTGACAGTTAGGCTTATATGAGATTTTCATTAAACAAGTATTTGATTTAATCACTTATCAGTATTATTCGCCTAAATTACTACTACCGTTATTCAGTTGTTATATTATCCCTTTCTCATTTTCCCCCTTAACAGCCAGATCTGCATTTGTGTGCGTGTATGTATAACTGTTAGTTTTCATTTAGATTGTTGGAAAAACTGTTAGCAGGACACAGGTTTTTTTCGTCCTGACACTCGTTAATAAACGAAATGTGTATCTACAGTTTTCAAGTGAACACTGACACTCCCCTCTCTATGAACCCATTCAGGTCACACAGTTCAGTAGTCAATCAATGTCATATTGTTTACAACTGATGCTGTAATTTTTTATGTACGTTGCTTTTAAGTTTTTTTTCAACCAATTTTTATTTTAATGACGTATAACTTATTTCAGTTAAACGTGCACATCTTGATCAATCATTGGATTGGAATTCATTGGCTAGAGTACAACTAAACAAGTGTAAATTTAATTTTACTGCTGAAGTTCTACCACCAGGAACATCTGCTATACCAGCTATAAATTCTATTCCATTCTATGTAACTCCTATTGTACGTGGTCCACGTCCTTATTTCGATCAAATTGTCAGTTTCAAAGCTGATGTTGATAGTATCATAGAATTTCGTCTTTCTGTACGTGATAGTAAACGTGATGAAGGTACTGAAGTTGGATATGGTCGATTTACTGTTCGCAGTGTTGCAGCTACCAATGGGAATCAATGTAAGTTCAATTACTGCCCCTTGTCATTATCATCGGTGTCTATCATCTTCATTTCTTATTTTCTTTGTGTTGTATATACATGATATTCAAACAACTACTTAGTAGTTTCTGGTTTCAGAAACTCAGTCAATTTGCTAAACTGTCGCAAATCAATTTGTAATCGTTTTTAAGTTTTCCCATTGTTGATATTTTGTTTTAATTTTTATCCATCTTAGTTCGCACATGTATGCATACTTTGTAGGTTGCCTCTATATGGCCATTGCGTCATCAGTTTTTATATTGTTTAAAGCGAGTTGTACTTATTTTGGATTTTGAAGTAGACGTCAACTCTGAAATGCGGGCACATTTAGCTGACAAGTTTAAAATCGAACGCAACATACGTCCTGGATTTTAACACTAACTGCATTCCATCTATTATATATAGACTTGTCATAAAATGACTATATTGAGGGATGCATGCATATCCCAAATTAGACTTATTCAAATTCAATCAAAAACACCTGTAATCAATTTTGTAGTATGCGAAAAATGTAGCTCATACTATTAATACGTAATAATGTACAGTTTTCTAATCACTTCAAGTGTCCATGACGTTGTCGTTGCTGTAAATTCTTCAGTTGAGAAATTTACCCGTAAAATGACTAGGAAAAAAGCTTTATATCTATCATCTTTTCAATAAATATACGAACTGAACTACTGAAGTTGTTGACCATAGATATATATCAGAAAATGATCAATAATATGTGACTGGGATGCACCCACTACATTGAGTCAGTATAACGTTGATCTCTTGTTTTCACCCTGTTCCCAAAAATTGTTTTCTAAGTGATACCTTATATGATATCACATCCGGTTGTTCAAACCAAATTAGACGAAGTTCTGTTCCTTCAACTATCGTGGGTTTTGTTTTTTCGTGTTCTGGAACCATGGCTACATCCTTTACTTTTGATGAGGGTACTACGAAAAAAATGTAGTGGCACGGAAGTAAAAATGTCTAGGCTTAAGATCACTTGAGTTTTTCGGTGATCAAGTGGAATGTCAGAGAAAGAATCTAAAGGCTGCGTGGGAAAGTTGTATGATGCTGCTCATAGCTCATGCTTGTATATTAGTTTGGTAGATTGACTGGGACATATAGGCTGTATGATCTTTGGTACTCATGATACCTTCATTCACAATAGCATGTTTCACCGTGTAGTCTCTCTCTGCCTTTGTTCTGTAATAGCACCTCTTAAAAAGTACATCTTCCTTATTAGTTGCCTCACCCGTATTGGTTAAGGTGAGGACATATTACTACTGTTATCTGAATTCGCAGGCAGTAGTATGGTTCCTTTTTCCAGTCCGACTTATCGGCTAGTTCACCTATATTGCCAGGAGAACCGGTGACCTATTTACCAATGAACAGCAACATTTTTAACACTAATCAATCGTCAAGTTCATCCTAACTAAGTGGCCAGTCAAAAGACAAAGGTAAAAAGCAGATCAATTCTCTGTTGTACTCAATTCAATTGTGACTCAAAGCTCATACAAAAATATACTTGAAATGTTCGATCGAATAACAACATTATTAGAAAATTGCACTGTGTGCATAATTAAGATATAAATGATACAAACCGGAGTAATATGGGAATAATTAATTGTTGATAAATCTAGAACAATTAAAGGTATGATAATGATTTATAGGTTGAACGAAACCTTAGAAATCGGCAATGATTATAACACAACAGTCCAAGCCTCTAATTACTAAACAATAAAAAATTTAAATAATAATTCTTAATATTATAATCCAGTGGCTATATTAACTCATTAGTTAAGTAGATAATGTGATGGCGTTCAAAGCAAACCGTACTGCGTTGGAGTCCCCTAGTAAACATCAACTCTAGGATGGAGGTACATACAGCTGAAGTCCCTAATAGGATAAAACACACATTTTGAATTCCACTTCTAACCACCATCCATCTCTGCTTAAAATGCTTGTGACTTAGTGGTAATATCGAGGTAATCCGTACAGGATGTATCAATTACGGTCCTAAACATCAATCAGAAAATTCGAACAACCAATATAATACATCTCAGTATGATAGTTTCAAAAGTTATATTTCAACATGATTCACCCAATTATATCAGTTATTGAGATCCATATCTTTGCAATAGATTGTTAGATGGAACTGAAAAAAGGAAGAAAACTCACCATGAAAACCTTGATTATTTTATGCTTAAATCACATTTACAATCATTGTTTTGTCTTACTTATTGATTCTTTACATTGAAACTTTGATTTCAGTATTCTTATTGTCTGTCATTGAAAGGCGTACCTCATAAGTACATAAACCTTGTGAAGGCTCTTTACTCGAACACTACTAGTCGAGTCAGAGGTTATGGCGAACTGTCATCTACTTTTGCAACCTCAAGTGGTGTCCGCCAAGGCTGTCCACTTTCTCCATTTCTGTTTAACTTCATCATAGACCTACTAATGGAAATAACATTCTCGTCGACTGAATTCTCGGGTATTGATCTCCTTCCAGGAGGTCCACTTATCGACTTAGAATACGCAGATGATATAGTCCTGTTTGGTGAAGACGATGACAAAATGCAGTCTTTTGATAGCACTAAGCAACAATGCCAGAATGTTTGGAATGGGCTTCAGGACTGGTCTGCATCAACACCTGAACTAAGGATAGGGAGTGAAGTGGTCGAACGCGTTGACAACTTCACTTATCTTGGAAGTCTGATCAGCCCTAATGGGCTGGTATCGGACGAAATCTCAGCACGGATTCGAAAAGCTCGTTTGGCTTTTGCCAACTTACGTCACCTATGGCGAAGGCGAGATATCCGTCTATCAATTAAAGGACGAGTATACTGCGCGGCAGTCCGTTCTGTCTTACTTTACGGCAGCGAAACATGGCCATTAAGAGTAGAAGACACCCGTAAGCTACTAGTATTTGACCACAGATGCCTTAGAAATATTGCTGGCGTCTGTTGGGATCACCGGGTAAGTAATAGTGAGGTTAAACTCAGGGTATTAGGGAATGATGGTAAATCAGTTGATGAGGTTGTGAATCTTCATCGACTGAGATGGTTGGGCCACGTGTTACGTATGCCTGAACACTGATTACCACGACACGCAATGCTAACGGGTGCTAGAGATGGTTGGAAGAGAATTAGGGGCGGCCAAACCAAAACGTGGGATCAGTGCTTGAAGACACTAACCTCTAGTCTGAGCCATGTTGATAGATGCAGACTACTTGGTCGGGGTCCGCGTGACTATCGTAACCAATGGTTGGAGACTCTTGGTGACATGACTCAGAATCGGTCACAATGGCGTCGGTGTATACGCTCCCTGTCTTCCCTTAAACTGAGAGATTAAAATCACTTCATATCTTTCTTTCTACTAAGTAATTCTTTCTTCCTGTACTGTATCCTTATATGCAATTTTTCTCTTATATATTACCACCTTTGACCTAACCACTCCTATGAATCCGGTGTTCATCTTGCTGTGCTAATGAGGTATGGCAACCTGGACCGATGCATATATGTGCCTGTAATCGCTAAATTATTTACTATTTAACAAATCAACAATTTTACTTTGTGGGAATATTCCATTTTGAATACCTTAATGTTCATAGACTTGAATGTATATAAATTAGTTTGATCATGATAGTCATTTTAGTCAGTCCAAGTAGCTCATATCCCATACCAACACTATAAATTGACATTAAAATAAGGATGAATCTTTAATAAGTTGAACTAGACGTACGAGCAATGATAATAAGAATCATGTTTAACCATGTTAAACATTTGAATTATAATTTAGTAAGATATAATGATAAATGGTTTGTTTGTATGAAGGAATACTGGAATTCGAAATCTAAACGGGGGAGATACAACGTAAGTACATCTACAATTCTAACTCACATCATTAGGATAGTATTAATAGTAGTTGTAATAGTCGGTTAGTCTCATTGTTTTTCACACCATACATTTGATTTATAATTACTTAGTTCTTTGAATTTGTTCACATTTTGCTAAGTTGCATTATTCTTGGCAACTACATATTAGTTGTTGTGTCTCTGTTTTCTTTCAGTGAGCAATTTGGCATTTTCACAACCAATTAAACCACTTCCGTGGTTGCATAATTCTACTATTTCTTCATCGAGTTCATTAGGCAGTATTGATTTGTCAATTTCTGTGCCAATACGTGAATTAAGCAGTGCATTATTAGCTCAACATTTGTCTAGATCAATATCCATGATAACAGCCAATTCTGTAAGTTAATCATTTCATAATGTAGGAAGGAATTTTAACCATCTTTCTTATTTCTTACAGATTGTGATTACTAATATATTTTGAGATGGTTAAAAGAATTTTATCGTGCATTGAAAGTTCATTTCTAAATTAAAATCACGAACCGATCAAACTATTAAAAACTTGAAAGCACTGGATGGCCGTATAATCCTAGTTTGGAGTTCCTCACCAGTGCACATCCACGACCCCACAACATGGAATCAAACTGAGGACCTTCGATCTGACACGTGAATGCCTAACCTGTAGACCTTTGAGCCGAGACTCAATGAGTGTAGAAGTGTAACTTGAATCAATGAAGAATATTGCAGGATGATTTTCGATTGTGTTAGTTGGGCGAATGTCTCATAGTGGAGATGGATTATCACCACTGATCATGACTTTTCACTAGAACTCCCTAAATTTCCTTTCAAAGATAGTCACTAGTGTGCGTATGCTGTTGGTCAGAGTGGGGTTGCTGAATATCATTGAAATTACGGACTGATCCAATTTTAAGTTGAAAAACATACAGATAATTTCAACTGGCGATAGGAATTTACCCTCACGTTAGGTACAAATATTTCTGAGGTTCTTTTGAGGAGTGTTCGTGATGTGTGAGGTCATATCAATTGAGGGTGGAACAATAAACCATCATTAAATAAGAAACATTACAATTTTCATTATCATGAATTTAGTGAAGTGAGCATGTATTCCATAAGCGTCTACCGAAACGTGGTACCAGCCCTTGAAGTCACTAACTTCTGGTCTGAGCCATGTTAGTAGATGCAGACTACTTGTTTAGGGTCCGCGCGACTATCGTAACCAATGGTTGGAGAATTTGGGTAACATGACTCAGAATCGATCACAGTGGCGTAGGTGTATACACTTTTTGTTTTAAACCGTGAGATTAAAATTACTTCATACCTTTTTTTCTACGAACTTATTCTTTCTCCCTGTATCATATCCTTATATACAATCTCTCCTTTTTTGAAATATATTACTACCATTGAAGTAACTGCTTCTATAAATTTGGTGTTGATCTTGTTGTGCTAATGAGGTATGGCAACTTGGACCGATGCATATATGTGCCTGGTCCTAAGTCGTAGCTGACTGACTGTCCATAAGCGTCCTAGATTCGGCCATGTGTAATGATCATTTAGACGCATTGTCTTTTGTTCAACTGTAACAAACACCCATCCAGCTCTTCCTAGTTTTTTAAATTGTTCTCAAGATAGAATATCTAGTTCACGTTGAAGATCAACTGAGAATTTTGCACAAAAAGTTTTTCACAAGACTATTTAATGGATAGACATTTATGAGGACATCGTCATCATCATGATCAGGAACTTCATCAGAAAAGATCACATTTTTCTTAAGTATTCTTCAATAGATTTAAGTGTCCATTTTCGTTGCGTACATTGAATAAAGTACACCGTAATATAGAGTTTAGGGGAAAAGGTTAATCTCATTTGTGTAATATTTTATATCGCATTAACATGTAAATGTGTTTGTGGTTTTTTATTTATTTATTTTAACACATAGATATTGGTACAAGGGGGCACCAGATACATATGCGCCACACAAATCTCATTCGATATGTGCGAGGGCTGTGATACTACCTGGGTACCTAAACCGAAGCAGGTGGTTTTCTTAGGGGGGCCACTCCCCGAGCCTTCGACCTAAAGATCTGATCCACAAGACAGTGGAGCAACGTTAGTAGATGCAGTCCTATGGTAGACGGTGACCACCAATAGGTTCATACACCATTTGTTCTCTCGGGATACTGGAGGCTATGTGCACAATTGATTTAGAATCTGGGTCTCCCAATTCCTTTAGGTGAACTCTCCGTGTCCACCAACCCGTCTAAAGCGTTGGACATTCTCTTTTTATCCTCTCAATTTCGTAAACAACACTCGTGTTGTGAATAGGACTTCCCTGTCAGTGGTTGTATGCACATGGTCCTGGTCCTACGTTGTAGCTGACTGACTGACATTGCCATGTGAAAGCATTTGGAGAGGGAGAGTTGACTCTTCCCACTCTTGGTCGTACCAGAGCAAAAAATCAAGCCTCGAACAATATATATATGAATAAAAAGGGTGAAATAATATTGTTTAAATTCAAGGTTTTTAGGAAGATAAATAAATGTGTCTGTACTACTGAAACTGATTTAAAAATCCTTCATCAAATATATAGCAGTTATTTAGTTGTTGTGAAAATTTATATTGAACCCATATTCCTATCCTTTTCATGTAATAGACACAATATCGGTTGAATTAGGAGTGGGTTAGAAGAAAACTAAGAGGAATTAAAATTAACCATAGAATCAGTCCACGAAGTCATTCACTGCAGGAATGAACGATGTTGGTAGATAAAGAGTACTTGATTGTCATAAGCAATGGTTAGAGATGTTATGCGATGTGATGCAGAATAGATCACAGTGGTGCAAATGTACTCACTCCTTATTGTCCTTTAGATGTGGAGCTTTTGAATCATTTCATACTGTTTATGCCATTGATTCATTCTTTTCGAATCATGTTGTCTATTTATAAAATTCTGTTACTCTGACATTGGTCTTGATAATTTCATCTGTCTGCTTATTATGTTAAGTGACAACTTTAATCAATGCGGTATTGTCCAAGATTTTACATCACCTATGACTAACTGGTTAGATTAATAAGTCTACTTCTAATTTGTAACAACAGTCAATTGAGCTATCGTCTTTGATAACCAGAAAGTTGTCTACATTATTTTCACCATAAATTGGTCACCAGTTTTGAAAAACGTGGTTTATGTTAGAGCCTTTTTAACCTCCTTTGTTCCATTGTGGAAAGACAGTATCGCAGAGGATGCTAGGTATTTAAGGGGAACACTCTATTGATATCACATCCATGTAAAATCGGTAATACAAATCCGCTGTCGTACCATAATTTTGATGCTTTTAGTTTTGCCTCTCTCTCTCTATCTGAATGATCTACCTGGGATTGTGGTAGTGTCTAAATCAATAGGTGTTCCATCTACGTTAATTTGATTGAGTCATTACAATATCCTGTCCCAACCATAACGTCAAGTTAGTAGCTGCGATCGAGCTGTGAAATGAAGCTTTACTTAATCATTAAAAATCGCCACTTTTAACCGTTAAGCTAAATATTTAAATCCTGTTTCACTCGCTCTGATTTAGGTACCTTAGTAGTTGTAATGTGTATCACTGACTCTTACACATCAAAAGCGTGATTTAAAGCTGAGTGCATAAACTTGTACTTCAATAGTGAGTTATTTTATGCTGATCAATAGTTAATAATTGGTCTTTACCGAACAAAAACTGTTTTGATGTTCATTTAAATCATATGGCAAAATGCATGGTTTTAACTAGATGATTGCTATCATAAACTGATGTCATAATTTTGACTTCATGTTTCGTGATGTTCACTACTTGTCATTGAGCCGTACCTAGAATTTCTAGGCAGCTTGGTGATTCAAACTCGTATCGCACAGCTCACAGTGTATTGTATTAGGGCCGAGACCAATCTCCTGTAGAACTGAGATGTTCATGTTCCCTGGTCAACAAGACGTACCTGCAGTCGTTAAGGATGTAACGAGTACCAATCCGGTTTTAGAAAAGGGTTTCCTTTCGAGTAATCCCAATCACTTCATATCAAAACAGTGTGTACAATATCAAGTCACTTAAATCACTGGCGTCATTACAGCTTGATTGATAGAATTTGATCAGCACCAAATAACTGAACGATCATGACTTCAGTCATCACGTTTACTCAATAATCAATCCATTAAATTTCAATTTAGTCATTCACCTATGATAAACACATGTTTTTAAAATAATTACGTATATCACTTCGATCACTTTGCCATAGGATAGATAGGTAGTGGTAGTTTGGTGGATGCTACTCACAAAATTGCTTGTAAGTAGTATGTTGCGGAACGTGGCGTTGAAGTTGCCACGGTCGTTAGACGTAGAGTAAAGTTTCTGTATATCGAATGCACTGTGCAGACAGAACACCTAATGATGACCAGACGAGAAGATAGTTCTGATTGCAGAACACACCTCAAGGTACAAACGGACGATCGAGAGCTACGTATACGTATTATGTAAAGGCTTTGTAATTTGTCACAATAAAAAATTCTTCTGCCCATCACCTTATACCGCAGTAATGGTGCTTATAAGTGTTTCATAACTTCAGCGCAAAGCTTGCATCACATTCATTCTGATATATATAGTGAGCCAATCTGAAGTGGACAAATGCATATCATTGGCTAAGAAGTTGATCAGTTTTCTAAGGGGTAGAAATGTAAACACATATAAACGAGAATTTATTCATATTGTCCTGTAGCCCAAGAGGCTTCGTCTTCCATTCTTGTGTTCTCGCTCAAGTCGTCAGTTTTTTTGGGGGGGGAGGGGGTCGGTTAGTACATAGTACGTTGTATAGTATCAGATCTCAGACACCGACCATCATAACACGTTCCATACGTGTGTGCGTTTGTTAATTGGTCAGTTCGTTCACCTTTTTTGTTGTCATGTGAATTTATTGACTGCTGATCAGCTTATTATTATAATTGTAATGGCCTATAAATTGATTTCATTTGTTGATCGATATTTCCTACATATAATTTTAATCGGCCCTATATATGTAATGTTTTGATTGGGGTATTGAGTGAACTAGCTAGTGTGTACTGAAAAAACATTAATTAAAAATCTGCTCATCTGTTATGGTGATCTAATAATCGTATTCTAATTTTTCTTTGTTCAAGGTTAATGGTCGTCATACTTCTGGATCACAATCAGAATCAACTTCAAGTATTACAGTAAGATCACCGTCTACTGATCGTACGATGAATAATCACTTGGTAGACAGTGGTGGCGGGGTTGGACCAACTTTAAACCCATCTGCTAATCACAGTAATAATAATAATAATAACAACACAGAGAATGCCAATGACTTCTCGTTACCACCTGGTTGGGAAGCTAAATATACTTCAGAAGGACGAATATATTATGTGGATCATTTAACGAAAACAACAACATGGTGTAAACCTACTTCACTTCCGCCTGGGTAAGTTCACCATTGGTTTTTTCTTTGCGAAAGGGTTTATAATTGGTTGACAAAGTGCTACCCTATCACGTGTGTGTTTGTTTATATGAAGTAGTTAGTGTGCCAGTATGGTCCATAAATACGCATATATATATATATATATAGGTTTTGTGTGTTTGGCTTTTATTGAATTATACTCAACATGAACACTTGTAACATATGGAAATTGGATAAAACATATAGCATTTGTTCCAAACAACTCAGTCTATGAAAGGTTATAGGCTTCGTCAATCAATTTGTCACCTTTCACTTAGTTCTCTACATCCTGACCTCAGTATTAATCTAGACAATCGTTTATTAATAGTCATTGTCATATTTGTGAGTCGGGATTACTACTCAGACGCTCAAACCCATGCCTTAGACACAGAAGACTAATTCATAAGTTAGTGGATCAAAATCAGGAGATATAGTCCCATGGTAACATGTGGCCAAAATAGGTTCGTTCGCCATTCATTTCTTCACGATTCTGGAATTGTCTGCGCGATTGGTCCAAAAACCAGATTTTTACAGCTACTTTAAGTCACCGGTTACCATGGGACTACATCTCCTAACTTTGCTTGTGCCCCCAAATGCCCTGGTACGGCCGAGAGTGAGGAAATTCCCCTCTCCCTCTCCAAATGCTCTCACATGACCGCGCGTAAATAGCCTCTGCCAGGGAAGTCCTACTCACTGCCTTCTCGTGGTGAGGGTGTTGTTTACGGAACTGAGAGGACGAAAAGCGAATGTCCGGCGATTTAACCGGGTTGGTGGACACGGAGAGTCCACCTGGGGGAGTTGGAAAACCCTGATTCCAAACCAATCGTTAATCATTCTTTTTCTGTATCTATCTTCTGATTGGCTGAGACGTTTTGAAGTGTCAAAGTCGTTTCCTAGTATAGCCCAATTTTACTTTGAATAGAATTTTGTTAAAAAGAAACTTGTATAATTTGAGAAAATTAACATTTAAATTCTTTTAGAAGAGACATATTTTTCATTTTTGTTATAGATGGGAACGTAGAACAGATAACGTTGGTCGAGTATATTATATCGATCATAATACTCGAACTACAACATGGCTTTGTCCAAATCAAACACTTTTAAATACAGTACAAAATTATCAACAAATGACTGCTTCACGAAATGGTATTATGCAACAACGAATGAATGAACGTTATGCGAATGCTGTTTGGAATTTAGGTGAATCAGAACCACTAGACGCTAGTTCACGAACAAATACTTCAACTGGTGGTGTAATGGATCCATTAGGTCCTCTACCAGCTAACTGGGGTAAATTTATCTTTTTTTTAAATTGCCGACTATGTATAGAAATAGTTTGGTTTTATGAAAGTTTGAGGAGATATGATTGGTTTATCTAAAGTGTAATTCGATTGCTTCAACCACTAAGGCATTGTGTATCAATAAAATGAGTAACGCTCACTCCATTTTCAATTGATTGTATAGCACCTATTCGGACTTGGGGTTGGGGTTAGCGTGACTATCGTAAGCAATGATTGGAGACTCTTGGTGACATGGCTCAGAATCGATCACAATGGCGTTGGTGTATACACTCTCTGTCTTCTCTTAAACTAAGAGATCAAAATCGCTTCATATGTTTCTTTCTACGAATTAATTCTTTCTTCCTGTACTATATCATTATTGCAACCTTTCTTTTATATATTACCACCTCTGAATTAACTACTTTTATGAATCCGGTGTCCATCTTGTTGTGTTGATGAGGTATGACAACTTGGACCGATGCATATATGTGCCTGGTCCTACGTTGTGGCTGACTGACTGACCTATTCGGAACCTCTTATACGAGTGTGACTACCGTGGTCTGGGCAGCTGACTAGTACCGATCACTAACCTTCGAGGATTTATGTAAAATGTGACTGGTATGAGATGTGGACGAACTTGTACAATGTGTTTTGCACTAAAAAATAGTTCCCTAAATATTAACTTTACCCTTGTAAAGCATTAAACCAGCAAATATAAGTTCTTGGACGTACAATCATCTCACCGAAAAAATTCTTAGCGACTTTGATTTTAGTCGTAACAAAATAGTTTGCATAGAATAGATGGAATGTAGCCAGTAGTGAAATACAGGCCTCACATTTCGTCCTATTTGGGACTTGTCAAATGAGTATACCTGCATCTCAGAGTTGACGTTCACTCCGGGATTCAAACACTGTAAGTGTAACTAATCTGATAACTCGTTAGCGTTTGAACTGAAACGATCAATCAACAACCTGGTTGTAGGTCAACAGAACAAAATAGTTGAATTAAGTATAAGGACAGCTAAAGATAATGAAACCTGATAGGTTAACCAATAACATTCAAGGATACCAGAACAAACTAGTCTAAAACTCATGGAATAACCAAGATGCTGATGATGTTGTCTAAAGCAACAGTGAAAGCTCTGCAGTCAAAGCATCTAGCTCAGAGGATTCAAACCATACCGAAAAAATCGGAAAATACTGGATTCTACTCCCAGTGTGCACATCAACAACACTTTGGTTCAGGTATACCTAGCCGACTGATGACTCCCATGTGGGACAAAATAACCATTGTAGATTCCACTGCTAATCACAATCCAGTTTTACATCTATATATTCTTTTAAAATCCGAAAAATCGTCATTATTTAGGTAGTGTGTTTATAAATCCTTTTTTAACCTTCTTAGAACGACGTGTTGACATATCTGGCCGTTCGTATTTTGTTAATCATGTTAGTCGAATCTCTCAATGGGAAGATCCTCGTATACAAGGTCATCCATTACCTCCTGGTTGGGAAATTCGTTATACAACTGAAGGATTTCCATTTTTTGTTGATCATAATACTAAAACATCGACATTCAATGATCCCAGACGAAAAGATGCAAGGTTATTGCTTTTATTTTTTTTCACTATTATTTAGTTCTTAAATCCTAAGCTTTGAAACAAAATACTTCCAGGCAGTCATAACCGCGTTGTTTCGTTTTTAGTATAAGGGATTTGTGGAAATCGTTGTATTTTCACAGTTGAAATCACAAGTCCATTTACGCTAGACCACTATTGAAAACGTAGAAGTACTGGGCAACCATTTTCTTCTAGTATGGGACTCAGGAGTGTGTATTGACAATCTCAATTCTTGTACCTTTCGGTGTCGCACGTGAGCGCTTAACCTGCAGACCCCTGGGCAAGCATCCAATAGTGTTAAGGTGTAACCTCAATCAATCCATCATCTTGTAGAATCCTTCATTCATTGTATGAGGTGGATAACCGTCTCAAACCCGGTACGGATTGAGCCCATTGGTCACGGATTGTCACTAGGACTCCAGGAGTTACATCTTAAAGCTAGTTGCTAGTGATTTCATGGGGGGGCTGGTTGTGTAATGTTTCACGTGGTTCGGCCGAGGAGATCTTTACTAGTATGAAGACCTATATATTGGCGTTGTAGTTGTATAAACATTCATTACTAGGACCAAAGCATCCGAAACTGGTGCTTTGTAGACGCACTTATATCAAGCTAGCTGAGAAACGGACTTAATTGCTGATCAAATACTTATCTCCCAATCTGTGATTTGCAGACTCAAAATCTTATGAGGTTAGCAGTGGAATCTTGAGCTTTTCTTCTTTTCGCGAGTTGTCAACTGGATACATCTAGACTCTAGTGTTGATGTACTCCCAGTAGCTATTGCTCAGTGGATAATGCTTTTATTTTACAGGTACATTAAACTGACGAGTCCCGAATAGAACGAGATGCGAGTCTTGATTGTCACTGCTAGCTAGGATTAACCTTCACCATTGTGGCAATATCTATGTAACTCGCTCAACATGGACATATGCGAATAGAGACTTGCCAATTGGAGTCCCTAATATCAAGAATAAAAAATCACAAGCCCGTACTAATAAAATCACTGCTATTACATTTTTTAAAACAGTTAATTGTCAGTGTATGAGTTTGTAGATATTGTTGAATATTGTTGAAATGGTAAACCGACCTAAGTTAGACAATCATTGAAAACCAGGAAGCACTGAATAGCTGTCTCGCTCTAATATATGACTTTTCTTCAGTGCACATTAATGACTGATTCCAAGAGATAATCGCTTTAGTCCTAGTGAGTTGTGATTACTGATGTTTAACCATGTCGGGTGTACAGCATTTACTAACCGAAAACAATAGAGGGTGATCGCTCAATATCACCAATTGATTGACGTTAGGCATGTAAACCATTTTATCACAACTTAATAGTCTAAAGGTTAAGTGACTGAAAGTTCCTGGTTTCGATCCTCGGTGGCAGGGTCATGGATGAACACTGTTGAGAAGTCCTATACCAAGACGAAACAGATGTCCTGTACTTTCTGGTTTTAAATAAATGTCTAAATTAGATCGGTTTGTGATATCAATAATATTAGATCTAATTATCTTATTCTTAATTTTCCCTCCATTTTTCTTTATTCAAATGTCAACAGTGGGAATATTGAACAAGCATGGTCATTTGAAAATAAAGTCGCCAGTTTCCATTATCTTTGTCATTCAAATTTGGTGACAAAAAATGTAAAAGTTGTTGTATCCCGTAGTAATCTTCTAGTGGATTCATTTGAACAAATTATGCGATTGAAACCACATGAATTACGTTGTCGTTTGTTCATTTCATTTACTGGCGAAGAAGGTTTAGACTATGGCGGGTTATCACGGTATGTGTAATTCGTAAAGGAAAATCTTCATCAAGCTTATGTATATTTTTTAAATCACCTGTAAAGTTTTTTGTTCATCTTGTTATTACGTTGATTGAACTAGGAATATATTCTCCGCTTACTTAAGCCCGTTACCCCTCTTAGGGCATAAATCAATGACCAGGAATCTCCAGACAACTGTCCTGGACTATTCTTTAGATTTTGCCAAGTACTATACATCTTTTTGATGTCTTTCCAGTCCCCGGAGTCATGTATTCTTTGGTTTACTACTTTTCCTTTCGTCTTGGAGATCTCAAGTTAGGGTTTGGTTTGTTGTGATACAATTTGGTGGTTTCCGTAATGTGTGTCTTATCCACTTCCAGTCTCTTTTCCTCTTTAAGTAAAAGTTGTTGTGTTCTCTGTCACAGCTGACGATTGATAATAGTGTCTGGCCAACGGATCTTGAATATCTTGCGTAGACAATTGCTTATAAATACCTGTAGTTTTTTATGTTGTTTGTAGTAGTTCTTCATGTTTCAGCATGTTTTAGCGATCAAAAATGCTCATTTCGAAGTAACTTGGAAATCGTGCCTTCAGTAGTGTCAACTTAGATTTATATTTACTGCTGCTTAATAATTTGTATCGATTTGATGATTGTTATAAACTAACTGGCACGCATTTTACACTATTGTTCATATTACATTGTTGTCAGTGTATTAACAAAGTATTCAATATATACACCACACTGACCATCGACTCACTATATACGTCTAATTATATTTGTTTGGACATGCGGTGTTTAAGAGCTGATATCGACATACAATCTTTATGTATACGAGCCACACTTACTCCTCAAGCGATATATATACATATATATCCCTTGGAAAATCAAATCAATATTGTATATTCCACCCCTTAGAAATAAAGATCATTTCTTGGCCAATTGCATATGCTTATCATTTGGTCGATTTCTGGTTGGGTTAGTATTTTGATTTCTAATATGATTGTAAAATGACTAATTCCTTCCCGATCCATAACCTTCGTCACCATAAATTTCTCGTTTTCTCTAATTTTTTTTCAGAGAGTGGTTTTTCAAATTATCTACAGAATTATTAAATCCAATGTATTGTTTATTTGAATACGCCGGTGGTAATAATTATGCATTACAAATTAATCCTGCATCATCGGTTAATCCGGAACATTTGGAATATTTTCGGTAAGTCTATCATGTTGATTGTGTTGTGTGATGTTTAAGTTGTGTTTTTCTTGTGTGTAATCTGTTAATTTTTGGTTGTCTTATGTAGAGAATCACAGATGCTTGATAATGATTACCATTGTACAAAGTGAACTCAGCAGCTAAATAGATAGTGCATTGGGCGTTTAAGGCGAAAGGTACTTATTTCGGATCTCAGAGTGAATATCAACTCTGAGATGTAGGTACATCCAGTTGACAGGTCCCTTATTGGACGCAATACACGTCCTGGATTACATTGCTAGCAATATGCCATGTATTGTATGATTATCGTGTCTGTAAGTTATATTCAATTCATTTTATTTGTGAATGTATCAGTTAGTCATAGTTAATGTTGAGCTTGGCGTAAATATGCTTTAACCCAAGTTGGTATACCATATCGACGCAAACAGATGAAATCAACTCAATGAGTGGTAGAGAAGTCGAAATAATATCGTACCAATTCGAGGAGACCGAATAAAAAGGTGTGTATCAAGGAGTATTTGAAGTCAGAATCTAGAGGGAATAAGAAGATTAAGTGCATCTGCACCCCCGAATGCCCTGGTACGGTCGAGAGTGGGGAGAGTCCGCTCTCCCTCTCGAAATGCTCTCACATGGCCACGCGTATATAGCCTCTGCCAGGAAAGTCCTACTCACTGCCTCCTCGTGGCGGGGGTGTTGTTTGCGAAAATGAGAGGACGAAAGGCGAATGTCCGGCGCTTTAACCGGATCCCAAACCAATGGTGCACATGGGCACCAGTATCCTGCGGGAACACATGGCGTATGAACCAATTGTTGGTCACCGGCTACCATGGGACTGCATCTCCTTACGATGGTCCACTGCCTTGTGGATCAGACCTTCAGGTCGAAGGCTCGGGAAGTGGCCTTTTAAGAAAACTACCTGCTCCGGTTTGGGCACCCGGGCAGTATCACAGCCCTCACACATATCGAATGAGATTTGTGTGGCGCATATGTATTTGGTGCCTCCTCCGAAAAGCTAAGCGCTCTGATGTAGTAATAGTGGCCGGTGATTTTAATGCCCAAATAGGTAAACTAAGCGATGGGGAAAGACACCTAGGTGGATCTTATGGTGTCGTGGCTCAAAGAACAGATAATGGCGACCATCTGTTGCAGCTATGCTCAGATAACCGCCTGTTCCTTGCAAATACTAACTTTAAGCATAAGGAAAAACATCTTTTATCATGGCGACCCCCTAATTCGTCCCAACGTTGGACCCAAATAGATCATATCGCTATCAGCCACCGATGGAGGGGCTCGATAGGAGACTGTCGCTCATTCTGGAGCACATGCTTAGATTCAGATCATGCTCTAGTGCGAGCGCGTATTTGCCTGCGTCTTACTGGACGTAGGAAAGACGCTGCAAGGAAACCTCTTAGGGGCCTACTTAATGGTAGTCAAGGTAAGAGTATATTTCAGGAACAACTAGGAAAACAGTTAGGCAGCCATGTATGTGATGCCCACCCCGATGCAGCATGGAATGATATCCGAAAAGCTGTGGAAACAGCAGTGATATCTGCTAATAAGGTAAACCAGAAGGTTAGGGAGCAACACTGGATCTCAGGGAGAGCAGCAGGCCCTGACAGGTTTACTCGTGAGATTTTTAAGGATGGTGGTCCAGTATTAGCAATGAGATTAACCGAGGTCTTAGGTAGAATTTGGGAACTGGACGTCATCCCATCTGACTGATCTCAATCACTGATTGTGCCAGTCTATAAGAAAGGACAAAAGTCCTCTTGTGACGATCACAGAGGAATCAGTTTGACTAATATAGTGTCTAAAATATTAGCCTCAATAATACTTCGACGCCTAATCAAAGCTCGTGAAGAGCAGATTAGAGAAAACCAGGCCGGTTTTCGACTTGGACGTGATTGTATAGATCAGATATTCACACTACGTCAGGTTCTAGAACACAGACACACATTCATACGCCCCACAATGGTAGTATTTCTCGACCTTAAGGCGGCATTCGACTCTGTTGATCGTAAGGTTCTATGGCAGTGTTTGTCACTGAAAGGAGTACCAAAGAAGTACATTAACCTCTCTACTCGAACACAACTGGTAGAGTGAGAGCTTATGGCGAACTGTCATCAGAATTGGTTATCTCAAGTGGTGTTCGTCAGGGCTGTCCACTCTCCCCATTCTTGTTCAACTTTGTCATTGACGTACTTTTAGAGATAACACTCTCCTCATCTAGATTTCCATGGGTTAAACTTGTACCGGGAGGTTCACTTGTTGACTTAGAATATGCAGATGACATAGTTTTATTTGGTGAAGACGCTGACAAAATGCAGAGTCTTCTGACCACTCTACGCAACAATGCAAGCATGTTCGGGATGCGATTCTCTCCCTCGAAATGCAAAATGTTGCTTCAGGATTGGGTTACATCGACACCCGAACTAGTGATAGGGAGTGAAGTAGTTGAGTGTGTCGACCGCTTCATGTATCTTGGAAGTCTCATCAGCCCTTGTGGTCTGTTGTGTGACGAAATCTCAGCACGGATACAGAAAGCTCGACTAGCTTTTGCCAACTTGCGTCATTTATGGCGTAGGCGAGATATCCGTCTATCAACCAAAGGACGTGTTTACCGCGCAGCAGTTCGTTCCGTCCTACTTTATGGCAGTCAAACATGACCGGTAAGAGTAGAGGACATCCGTAGGTTACTAGTATTTGATCATAGGTGTCTTCGAAACATTGCTCATATATCATGGGACCATCGAGTAAGTAACACAGTTGTTAGGAAACGGGTACTAGGTAAGGATGGCAAATCAATTGATGACGTAGTGAAACTTCATCAATTGAGATGGCTGGGACACGTGTTACGTATGCCCAACGACCGACTACCTCGACGTGCTGTGTTCAGTGGTATAGGAGTAGGTTGGAAGAAAGCTAGGGGCGGCCAAACCAAAACATGGCACAAGTCCATGAAGTCACTGACAAGTGGACTGAGTCATGTTGGTAGGTGTAGACTACCTGGTTGGGGACCGCAAGATGATAGCAACCGATGGTTAGAGACCCTGAATGACATAGCTCAAAATCGTTTGGAATGGCGCAGGTGCATCCACTCTTTGTGTTCTCCCAAATTCTAATCTTCTGAATTCTTCATGTTCCTTTCTTTTTGTCTCTTTCCAAATTTATTTCACTGTATTATACTCTTTAAATAACATCTCCAAACCCTAATCTTCCCGATTACTGCTTATACTCTTGTTACTTCTACCACTACGGGATTTGAATCGACAACTGCATCTCTGTGCTAATGTGATGTGGCAACTCGACCTGATGTACGTACGTACGAAGTTCTACGTTGTTACTGACTGACTGACTGACATATAATAAAGAAGGAACGAATTGAGCGAAGAAATTTCTTTTCAATTAGTTTTTCATCATGGCTCTACACTAATATATATACGTTTTACAATAATAATATAATACTCATCGAGTGGATACGTTACGTAATAATTACATAATGACCTTTAAATTAACATTCAGTAATTGGAAGAGAGAGGATTATTAATATTCAAAGTAATCAAGAAGTTGCTATGTTGCGTAATATAAGAAACAAAGAAGGAATAGAATTTTACCGGATGGTCAATAGGATAGTAGTTACGTAAGAATCAAGAGATGAATGTTGAGAAGTTATAAGGCTCAAAAGCGATAGAAACAAAATTACAAAAATTTTAAAATAAAAATAAAAATGGAAGAAGTATGAAAAATAGTTCTTCTGACGGAAATGTTATACTGAAGGCCAGGGTAGAGAAAGTGGTTGTACGAATTTCTTTTGGATGCAAAGGTCAGGTTTGTGAACATGGATTGCGATGGCTTCCGCAATGTGCAAAAGGCGCACTCGTAAACCATGTGGTAGATTTGATGGAATATTGTAGATAACCTTAAAAGCTTTATTCACTTCGACTTGATGACCTGTGTCAACCAAGTGAGAGAGAATAGAACTTTTAGCACTTTCACTTGTCCTTTGCTTAGCCATGTTGGATGATGTTCTGTAATTCGGTGACGGACCTGTCGAATTGTACGCCCAATATAACTGGCTCCACAGGAGCAGTTGAAACGATAGATACACATAGATTTGGCGAATTCTGGCAGTCTGTCTTTAATGGATGTTCTTATTTTTGGGTGGTTGTAGAAGATGACATTTAATTTGGCAGCATTGAATGTTTTTTGTACCGCTCTTCTTAGTTTCTGAGTCATGACTTCCTCAATGGTGTCATTTATGAATTGTAGTTTCATGAATAATACCTTCTTGGGGACAGTGGGTATTTTTGTCCTTGTTTTCTTCTCCGTCATATGTTTTTCGATGAATTTCATTGGGTACCCATTCAGACTGAGTAGATTCCGAATATTGTTAGACCAGTATTAGATATGAATAACTCAGCGTATCATAATTTAGCAAAATGGTTGGTGCAAATTCTTCAACCATTACACAAAGAAATTGTCAGACATAGTGTCAAAGATTCCTTTGAATTTGTGGAGAACATAAAAAATCTATCAGTCAAGAATAAATTCATGATATCACTTGACGTATCATCATTATTCACTAATATTCCACTACTCGAAACGGTTGAATTTATTTGCAATGAACTAACGGCGAGACGCATAGATACCCCGATTCCCGCATGCGCGATAAAACAGTTAATTCTTAGATGCACTATGAACGTCCAATTCAGATTTGACAATGAATACTATAGACAACTAGATGGAGTCGCCATGGGATCACCATTGGGCCCTCTACTGGCCAATATTTTCCTTGCAAAACTGGAAAATGGACCACTTAAAAGTACAATTACCCATTTACCAACTTACTATCGCTATATAGATGATACCTTCATAGTATTAGGAAAAGAAAATGATAAGCATAATTTACTTAATATAATTAATAACGTTCACCCATCAATTAACTTTACATCAGAAGATGAACAAAATAATAGCATATCTTTTCTAGATGTCCAACTAAC